CATACATGGCCTCAACAGCTTAGTCGCAAAGTATGTTATATCACCACTGTTTGGTGCCGACATGAATCATCATAGGACACCAGTTTCCTCATGATCACAGATACTCCATCCTAACGAATACTAACAAGCCCAGAATCAGATTAGGGCATAATATCCTGCAGACTGACCCGTTACGTTCTACATTTGTCAAAGCCTTTAGAAAAAAGATGGTTACCACACTGGAATTTCAAGTCATTTAGGTTAAGCGATGATTTTTATTCTAGGTAAAACACTCAGCATCTGCCTAATAACTCACTTGTTCTGTAAAGGACTGAACGAAGCTGCTTCCTTAGGAAAATGGCCAGTTCTGTTCTTTCTGTTAACTGATATTAAAATAAATTCTACCATTCAGCCCACAGCATCAAGTTTTTTTGGCATCTACATGGTTTGTAAGCTCCATGTGACTCTGTGTCCATTGATAAGATTTCAATATTTTCCGTGTGAGTTAGCATCCACATATCATTTACCGAATAGAGTGTTAGAGCAGTTTACAGACTGTTTATCTGCGTAAGATATTATTTTATAGGTAGATGATAAAGTGGGGTGTTAGACCCCACCAAGACTAGGCGATTCGTTTCGGTTGGTAGACCTACTTGATCTGAACACTAGTCTGACATTTTTTGTCGGTGTGGCTCATGAACGTTGTTAGGATACCCGAATAAACATAACCCAGGCAACCGGTTGGGTCAGATCATTTGAACCTAAGAAAATTGATATAATGACCTCATATTCAGTAAATTGGATGAACATTTCTGAGAAATCTTAAAGGTTACCAGTGAAATAAATGTTTAAGTTTCTTTGTTAAGCGAAAAATAGTCTTTTCACTCAAAATAAAGACACCTAAATGCTTGCCTTAGTAGTTACCAGGGTAGCCTATATAAGTTTTCCTTAAAAATAAGCCATTTTGATTACTTGCTTGCCATGCTAATATAATTTACATTCAAATCTGCCTAGACTGCATGAATTATTAAATCGGTTACACACCAAAGAAATAAGCAAACAACAAAGATAACTAGGAATTGTAACTTTTACTTCAAAGACCTGAAAGTGTTACAATTTGCAGTTTTGAGAAGTCCGCGCATAATTCAAGGTAATTCTAAGTTTATAGCTGATCGAATTATTTACAAAGCGAAAAAGACTGAATACGTTTCATGAAATGATTGAACCAAGAAGTGTGTATTCTGTAATATATCAGTGGTTAGTCTCAACTCCTGATAAGAAAGGTATACATATGTCACAGATCCAATGTAGTTTCGCATATATGAATCTGGAGAGTGTTTCCCCGGTTTGTTGGGAAAAGTAGTGTTGATGTTTAAACAGCCTAATCTTTGTGGATATATATATATATATATATATATATATATATATATGATATATATTAATATATAGTAAAACAGCTTCAGATTCTTACAAGGAACAACTACTCATTCTCAACTGTGAACAGAAAACAACATGAGATTCATTGAATTCTTCCTGACAAGAATTATATTGGCAAGTTATCTAACAAGGCTGATGAAATCCTTGCTGAAATACACAAAATTTACGACATAAAATGTTGTAACAATCTTTGTTTCTTAAAGAAATGTAACAAAATGTAAAGCTGAAGTGTTTCGAGAAAATATTTGCAAATTAATTTTAGTAATTGGCCACCAAAATGGATTTATAACAAAACGTTCATTCATTTTATTTTTGGCTGATTATCTTTGTAAAATGTAACAATATGATCCACTACATCTTGACATTTCATTGTTGACATTCTGAGAAATGATGAAAATGTGAAGGGAAAAGAAATTTAACAATTAGTAACTATTTATTCATTCGAGTTTTTTTTATTTTCTGCAGTAAGTTGTACAGCTTGAATAAAACTGGTTTATAGACATGTATCACATAACAATTAAAAAAAACAACTCAGTTTTACCCATTGGGAATATCAGCGAGATCGCATCATTTTTTTGTCAAGTAGTTTTGAGTAAAAACGTGAACAACAGTGGTTTTAAGATAGTAAGTAGCTCATTGCTACCGTCACACTCATACGAGCTCCCCATTTGAACCGAATTTTTCGTTGAATCAAACAAAAATAAACGTAGCCTGAACGTAATGGTTTTAAAATGTAAAGATAAGTAATTGGGTAGAATTAACGGTTAAACAATTGATTCAACATAATGCAAAACTTTAATCCATGTTGGTACCTGCACGAACAACTGTTTTTAAAAGTATCACAGCTATGTTGATAATGCTTAAGAAAATATGAAACTTTCCATGTAAGTTGTTGAGCATATATTTTTAGCTCACTCCCAAGAACTTGTAGATAAACCGGAATTTCCCACTTATCATATTGTTCAAATCTGTGCATCATCATACTAAAATTGGATGTTTGGGTTGTCCATTCATAGAACACTTTTGAAGCCTACCAAATGAGTTATAGATGAAATGAGTAAATATGGAATGCACTGCAGGAAATAGCGAGAAGGTATTTATCCTTGGCTGATGTCAGTTGGAGAAGCGTTGAAAAACTGAAAGAACTGAACAGCTATTTCGTCTTCGCATGGGACTTCTCAGCAGTGCGCATTCATGACCTCCCCAGGGATCGAAGTCGGAACGTTCAGTAGAGGGGCGAACACGTTATTCACCTAACTGCTGGGTCAGAGCTCAGTGGAATACAGTTTTTTTTCCCCTGTCAACCAGTCGCAAGTGAAGAGGATACCGACTGAAGACTTCGGTGAATAGTCGTGCTATATCACGAATTGACAGAAGTAGGAAACTATGGACCATTGAGCTCCCACCAGCTCTCCACGAAACCTAACGAGTTCATTGGTGAATACGGTTTAAGATTCTTGTACCAGAACGAAGCAACTATTCGGGGTTCTCGAGTTTTCAACAGTTCTCCAAATGATGTCAGTTCTTGGTGAACACTACCTAGAACCAAATAAAAACCCATAAAACCTAAACTCATAGTGAGAAGGTTAAACAATGTGAGTTCTCAAGGCCATTATCGATTTTGTTTCATTAATAAAGTTATTTCCCCTCTTTTTTTTAAAATCAATATTTCCTACTTCTAATTTGATTTTGTTTCTTTTCAACCTTGAGTTATTCAAACCTTTCATTCAGTATTATTTGGTCTTTGCTGTTGTAGTAAGGTTTGGTGCTGATTGATTCTAATGACTATACTGCTCGTTTAATTTAGGAGTTACGTTAGAATTTGTCTTGTAGGGAAAACAGCCAGCTATTACAGATATAAGCAACACAACAACTAGTTGATACACTCATGAACAGGTTGGAGACATGCTCAATCTTATTCAGTTTACCATTTATAAGCTCCAGTTTACACATTAAACTATTATTGGACGTAATATATTAAATACAATGCTAGTCAGGAGGACGATATGAGAAGGCATAAGTTTTCTGACCACCGTTATCTTCGTAGCATCGACAATGAGTAGTAGGACCACCACTTTAATAATTTAGTAGTTATAATTGGTAGCCTAGGCAAAAGACGTTGGCCTGTTGATGATAATACAAATCCTAATGAAATGCAGGAGCTTTAATATTTGTTATGCATGCTTATTCGCGATCTCCATCATCACACCACGTTGACTGACGTAGATTTCAGCTGCAAAAAAGTAAAAGTTGGTTAAACTGAAGCTTATCACAGTCTATGAAGTTTCTGACTATTAGTCTAAGTTGTGTAGGCTTCCCGACCAGTAACTAAAATCAATGGTTGGAGATTCCTTGTGATGTGTCTCAGAAGCTACAGCGGTAACACAAATCCATTCATATAACATTTCTTTTCTCTTCATTGCTCCCATTTCCTCGCTTCCATAAATTTCGTCAACTCCTTCTCACATTATTTACATTTCTGTCTTTCATTTAGCTGTTTCGTATCATGATGTTCTGAATTAAAGGGTTGTAACTTTGACTGCCACAAAGTAATACTAGATCCCACGTTACTATAGTCAGATTTATTATTAATAGCGGATTTGTCATCTTTTTAAGGGCTATAAGGGTCAATGATTATGAATGATTTTAAGGCGGATGTACGATTCACACATCTTAGCTCTATTCTTCACAAGTCTGATCGATAAACTTGGTTAGCTGGTTATAGTTACACGTTAACTACAAGAAACCTAGATTTGGAAAAATGGATATCTGGTGTCACACAAGTGAACCAAATTAAGTGCATTGTCAACGATGTCATTCCAGTTTACCTGTTCAACTAATCAATTCTTCAAAGATCTTAAGAAAGTTTATCAGTTATGGTTTATCTGTATCCATTAAGGTACAGAAATAGCTTCTAGTATGTTTTGATACACTTTCCACAGAGACCGACAGTCCTTATGGATGATTTGCATCAGTAACCGACAGCAAAATGGTTAACATGTGTTTACTAATCAGGTTAAAAGATGACACAAGTTGTTTAACTAGGTAAGCATACATGTTTACATTTGACATCAAAATTAGTGGCTAACTGGTGTGTATCATAAATTTAAGTTTGAATGTATGGAGAAACTGGTATTAGTTACCTTAAAGCTCTTCAGTGCCAGATTCTCAAAAAGACTCTGATCGCACTCTTGAGGATCGTAATTACAAAACTTGTATATTTTGCAGTAACACAATCGCATCTGACCCCGATGACCTAATCTATTTGCTTATAATACTTTGTTGAGCCAAGAGTCATAACAGTTCCTGGTTTAGTAATGAGGGGTAGTGGCGAGCAGTGGAATCCAGGATGCGCACTTCATCCGAACTGGGACTCGTCAGCTGGATGTACCTGCCTCTTAGTGAGTGATATTGTTCCCACCGGATTCGGACTCGGGAGCGATCGTTTCAAACGCGACAGCGTTATCCACTACACCACCGAGCCATGATAGCAACAAGCAAAAAAACTAGTTCCTGGTTTGTTTTATATGAAGGAGTTATGAAACCTTACATGTGGACAGAATAGATGGTGCTTATAAATTAGCATGAGTGTTACCTGTCTTTCTAAAAATTTTTTTTCCAGTCCTGATATAAATGAATCCTCCGATAAAAATGAATCTGGCAGCCAACATCTTAAAAGGCACAAAATTTTGGTAAGTCAAGATTCCTACTTCACACTCTTGGACATGAATTAACAGTTGAAATTATTGACTCGTTTCATGGTGTTTTAACTACTAGCAAAAATTTGAAATCATTTCATGGTCATATGTCTCACCTCATGTAAGAAGGATATTGTTTTTGCATAAAATACGACATAAAAAGTGACATTATACCTATTGAAGTTCATGAATCAACAAAAAAAAATTTGAGTTAGATCATGATCTTCTACTTGATAAAACTCAGCTGAGTATAAAGTGCTGCCACTACGTTTTTGTCAGTATTATCATAACTCCGTTTCTCAAGAGTGGGTCGGTTGGCGGCCTGTTTAAATTTTGGGCTACCAAAAATATTTCATTGAATATATATCATCAAATTGCTCCCATCTTACTTGTTTTAACCATTCGAATGTCATCGTAAAACACTCTTTCACACTCCTCAAATGTATTCAACCTATCGTTAGACGGGTTAAAAACAGGATTGTGAGAAAATATCACTGTATATGGTAGCTGGCCACTGAACGCCCAATATTACATCATATGGATATCACAGGAACACGTAGCTGCACCAATAAATTTTGATACCGGATAAATGACCTTCCACCAACAAACTTGAGCGCGCTTTTCTATCCGACCCATGTGCAACAACATTCAAGCTAAGTGGTGATCTGAAAACCACTGGCTGTTGTATATTCTTGTCTATCATCCTGTTATTATTAACGTTATTTAACTGGTGTGTTTTTTTAATTTTGAAAATATTGTACAAGAAATAAGTTTGTTAGGATATCATAGTGAGAATTCTAAACTTTACAAACTTCACTTATTGTCTGGAATAAAGTGATTGTTATTGTTATCATTAACGTTAGGCATAAAGTAGTGAATTGCTTAGAACTTTGTTTAGGAGAGAATTCGCCTAGATAAATCCGTGCGTCCGTTGCTAAGACTATTTTACTCACATATGGAGGTAGTTATAAACTAGTCATTACATTATTATTATATATAATTTGTCCTTGGGTTCCTAGTGGAACATAGGGCCTCAGAAGCACGCATCCATTCCATTCTGTTCTCTGCAATCTTTTGAACCTGGCTCCATAACTGCTCAGAAGCTCTCATTTCTTCCCCATACAATCTCCTACAAGTGACCCTTGCCTCAGACGCCCAACTGGTCGTTTCCCATCTAGATTCCACTCGAGTGCTCGGCGCATGATGTCCTCAAATGGTCTTCTCAGTGCATGCCTAATCCAATCCAATCCATCTCCACTTCCTTCTGCATATTTGTTGAGTGATAGGTTCTTGGTTGGTTCTTTGTCAGCCAGAGTTCCTTGCTGTTTATTCTTTCTGGCCATCTGAGCTTCAGCAACGAGCCAGCGTAGTTTGTTAGAAACTAGTCATGCCAACCCAAAATTTTCTGTAGTCAGAACAAAGTGATATAAACACCGAATAGAATTTTAGTGATTTTAGGCCCAGTTTACCAGAGCTATACATGATTTGATTCAGATCAAACTCTTGAATGGTCTAGACCACCCAAATTTTGAACAGCTAACTAAGCGATCTGCTGAGATACACAATACAACCAGATGCTTATAAATCATACAGTCCGTGATTCATATGATGCAAATAGATGAGACCGAATCGTGAAATTTTGGTATGCTTTTATTTGGAAACACAGATATGCAGAAAATAATGTTTTATTTGCTCACTGTCACAAATGGCATCAAAACTTTGAGTATAAAGCCTTTACAAAGTATAACACCTACTAACATGATTGGTTTTTGACGGCCCACAATAGTCATAAGTTTCCAGACAATTGATTTAACTTACTGAATCCAGTGAAAATTAGATAAATGCTCCCAACAGCATTAGATTAGAGATGAAACAAAAAGATATTAGGAAATTATTCATCCAAGCACTACTGCTAAATATCACCACGCATTAATAAGTTAAGACCGATGAAAAGATGAGGCGGCACAGATGAGGACATCAAAGCCAGGATCGGAAGACAGAAAGACAGGCCTTCATTAACGTGAAATCAGTGTAGAGATCTACTACACTCAACATTAAAAACAAGATCCGGATTTTCATCTCTGTTGTCAATTCAGGGTTCTGTGTGATGGTTGAGGAACTCGGCACATTAAGAAAAGCATTTCTAACAAACTGCAGACATACATCATCAACAGCTGCCGCCTACGCTCACTGAAGATCAGATGCCCAGAATAATCAAAATAAGCAACAAGGAACTCTGACTGGCAGGCCACTAACCAACCAAGAACCCATCGCCCAACAAATATGCAGAAGTAAGTGGAAATGGATCCTGAATACACTGAGATCATTTTGGAGCATCACACACCAGGCCAGGCTGTCGAGTGGAAGCCAAGTGGAAAACGACAAGTTGGGCGTCCGAGGTGAGGGTGACACGGAAGAATCGTATGGAGAAGAAATGAAAGTTTCTGGACAGTGGTGGAGCCAAGTTAAAAAGACTGCAGAGAAGAGAGTGAAATTGTTATGTGCTACAGAAGCCCTATGTTCCACTAGGAACCCAAGGAACCAATAATATTAATCTGATTGCATTTCTTACGGTCTTCGGTTTGCTGTCACCTTTTGGCACATCACTCTAGAAACTCAGCATAGTCTGACAATGATTTCAGTGGTATAGGTGTATATATTAGTATATTTAGGTTGTAGGACAGAGGTCCTTTGAAAACGGTCAATATCAACAGCTACTTAGTTAAGACATTCCAACTGAAAAATCTCAGTAGCTTCCTTGCAGCCAACTAAGTATTACTTCCCAACAATAAACAATACGTTAGTTACTCCTTTAAGAAAAGTTACAATTCATACGTTCAGAACTACATGACAACAGCACTTCGCTGTTAAATATTTTCACAGTTTCAATTAAACAATCAACTCAGCCATGATCTGATTGCTCCTATACCTTTGATTTGCCATCTGTTTCCTCAGAGTTGTCAGAAGATAACTGGCTCATTTAAATTACTTTGTTGTATGGTGGGTGTTCTAAGATTATTATCATTTGAGTATTTATTGCATTTAACCTTAATAGCGCTTTATACTTTATAAAACTTCTATTTCAGCCTTTTGGTCACGGTGTTCAGGATCGTCTTGATACACCAAGAGGATCAGAATCCAGTGGACAATATTCTCATTTTTCCAATAGGCAACCAAGGAAACAATCAGTAGTCTCAGGAGTTGAGAAAAAACCCATCAGAGATGAGCCTCAATATATGAGCAGTGATAAAAGTACAATCCCCAATGAAAAAATTATTAAACAACCTACTCATTTCATTCAAAATGAACATGAACCAACACATGTTCGACTGAATCCAAAGTGGCCTGATAGTCGTTTAAAAAGTAATATCCCTGATAGGATAGCTGAAAATCTTGAAGAAACTGACAAAAGTTTTGAAAGTAGTGAAGAATCCTCTGAAACCACTTTCTGTCATCAATTACCACTGACTGATTCACCAGGTGAATATTTCCAGGGTTAGTTTCATAAAATCTTTCCTTACCAATAACTAGCAAAATGTCAAATTGTCCATATCACCTAACAGCATGGTATACAATACTACTCTGTTTTCATCACCTAACTTCCTATACCTAATTCCAGTAAATAAATGCTAATCTTCACCACTGTACAGTTTATAATATTGTGATTGATACAGTTAAAACAACATATTTCAGGTATTGAAGTATTTACATTTTCGCCTCAACAATTTTAGATTCGACCTGTATATTCATAGGCTTCTACACAACCCTCTTAGTCCAACTAATTAGGTTACTCCTGTGAAATTTCACAGTGTAATCTATTATCCTTAAAAGAAAGTTATTTATGAATCGCTGAGAATTTTCTTACAGTTCTTAAATCGAAAGCAAGATGCTAAATAACGATTTCCGCTATGTTATAATCTATTATACCTTTCAGATGGAATATTAACAAATAGATAGGTAAAATGTTTCAATTCTCATAAGTTAGAAACGTGTTCCTAACGGAAAAGTTTTTAAATTGACTGAACAATACTATCTATCTTTTGGGTCTGGCGTTTGATTAGTTTTCAGATGCTAGGTGACTATTTGTATGAGACATTTATGATAATTTTCTCCACTTCGTAAAGGATCTGGTATTCATCTTGGTGACTAGCACCGGAACCCAAAACGCGCTTTTCGCCCTGTTTCTGACTTGTTAGCTGAATGTACCTGCACTTTAATGAGTGGTTTGGCTTTTACCGAGACTCGAACTAAGCACCCATAGCTTCAAATTCCAAAGCGTTATCCACTAGGCCATTGAGGTGTGACAACTGTCTCTTGTGTGATGGGTATCAAACAATATTGAAGAAGGATCCTTAAATGCTGTTTTCTTTTATAATCAGCTTTTAATGAAAGTTGGGATAAAAGTAGATTGGTAGACACTAACTAGACCAAACCACAAAGCGTTGTTAAAAACTTTGATTTTATACACATCATGCTGACTATGACGTCAGTCCACGTTGAATGGTGATAATCACTGACATTTATCAATTTTCAGTCATCAAATGCATAAAAAATATGAGTCTACTGCTTGTTATTTACCGCGATGCAAACACAAAATGATGTTTTTTCAAAGTCTTGAGAATTATTGGTACATCTTTGACGTAAGTGTTCTAAGAAGAGGGATGTTATGACTGATTGATGGTAAACAATAAATATGCCAGCTTGCTTGATCCTTTTTGTTTTGCAAAACGTTTTTGCGACTAACACAAGTTGCTTACATACAAAAAGAATACACTCACAGACGGCGAATATAAATCAAAATGGATGGATGTTGTTATTTCAAATAATCATTAAATCTTGGTTGTTCACAAGCTATAAGTATTATAATGGTGAAGTATATAACTTTAGCACTGGGCAGTTTCTGTTCTCACCTACTAAGTAACATCACTTTCAAGGTTTTCAGAAAAGCGTTCTGATACCTATCGAAGACTGGCATATTTAAGATTGCCAGCTGGTTAACTTCTGATATCCTACAGAAAATTATGTAAATGAATACATAACCATTTGACTTATCTTACCTAGAAGAGAATAAAACAATAAGACAGTTGCTTGAGAACTGATGAATAACAGTTTGAAAATGTCCTTGCCTAAGGAAGTATGCTGAAAAAAATACTGTTTATGGAAATCTAGTACTCGTTTTTATATATTTAGTGTCATTAGCACCTTAGAATGGCTAATTGGGGATCTTACGTTTGCTACTCTAGATCACTGTTGATCCCTCAAAAGTTATTCTATCCTTCTTTAGTATTAGATGTCGGCAGACACTTGACAGTAGGCCTTGGATCCAGGCTTCATGCCTGTTGACACTTACTAGCAAGGTGTATCTGAACACGTTACATTCACTGAACGTTTTACTGGTCACTGGACTATCGCCGGATAAGGATATTTAATAAGGTGCTGTAAAAGACAAGACGTGATTGCAGCAAAGAAAAACTGTTGTTTACGACGAAGTCATTTACTAAGCTGTACATTCGTGAATATATCTTACAGTGGATGGCAGGACATTCCAGAATTATTTCCAGTTAGGGAGCAAAATATATTGAATAATTAAAGGAAGTTTATTAATACACATTTGGGTTTAGAGTGGGAAAACAGACAAGGGATTATGTAATTATGCAATACAGGACGAATGTATGGCAAAGTAGGAAAATGAATGAAGAGTTATGAAAATAAGATTGTAATTACGCAATGCAGGTTAAATCTATGACAGAGTAGAAAATAAACAGAGGGTTACTGAAATACATGTGTAGTTATTTAATACAGGATGAATCTATGATACTCACGGCTTTATGATGACCATGGCAAAGATAAAGTTTGGACGTGCCTTGTTTGGACGCATAACACTTGTTTGAACTTCTGAACGGTTATAACTTCAGCTATAGACAGATGTATTGATCTTACTCCCTTCGAGTTGTATGATGGAATCCTGTAGAGAATTTTGAATGATCTCTGGAAAGGAGTTAAGTGGTCTGAGTTCACGAGGTGTTCTCTATTCAATATATTTCCCTCCTAACCTGAAATAATTCTGGAAAGTTTTGCCCACTGTAAGATATATTCACGAATGTACAGCTTAGTAAGTGACTTCGTCGAAAATAAAAAAATTTTCCCCTGAAACCACGTCTTGTCTTTTCATATGACTAAATGGGTCTATTCTGTTGTTTAAAGTGCTGTAACTGTTGTTATTTAATTACAGGAAGCATTCTAATACCCCCTACACTATTTTTATACACACTATGAAAATATTATTCAGTGACATGAACACGGCTTGGAAACAGTAGGTCCTGGGTTCATATCTAACTCCATCTAATTCTGTCTAAGCAACTAGGTAGTATCATAAGCCATTATATCCGATAGGTGTGGTTTATAATGTACTTCAGAAAACGTGTACCGTGTTGCGTTACATTATTATTTACTGAATTAGAAACACGACAATTTGAGTGTATATCACATCTTAACACATAATTGCGATATAAAAAATATGTTTTATTTACTAAGGTTAAGTTTTGAATGACAACTGAGATTTTAACTAAGCAGTACAAATACACTTTGTGTTTTTGTTGTTGTACTATATTCGATAGTTACAAGCATTATTTAACAATAAATCTGTACTTCATATTTTTAGATCATCACAATTTGCATTTCAACCAGCCAGATCAACTCACACTGTTATGCACAAACATTGATGAACCTGATAATACGGATGAGATGAAATATATACCAAGTGAAATTTTGAAAGATAAACATTATTCTCAGAAATCTGTAATTCCTTGCAAAGAATCTCATCCTCACTTACCATCAGGGGATAATTTCAACGTAACTGGTAACCTCATGAGTGGTGAATACCAGGGCTGGGGAAAATGCAAACATGAGTGTGACATGGAACTTTTAGAGGATGAAGGAGAAGTATCATACTATCAATTGTCAGATCCTGATTACAATGATAGTCAACGCTTACCTTACAAAGGTATCCAAAGAGCAGGAAAGAAACGTCCTTTCCAGCCTCAGCACCAAAAGTCAATACCCCTTTTCACGAGACAAAAAAGCATTAGAGATGAACCACTTTGGGGACTCAGAAACATGCCTCATCTAGCCCGAAGCCCAAGTGTCGAGCATCCTAATTCATATCCACCGTATCAACAATTACTGAGGCATCAACAATATGAATATCATCTCCTTCCTACAAGTAAGGAATCAGTAGATTTTCGTACAGCTCCTTCCAGTTCGATGTTCTACCCTGTTCCTCCCCCATCAGGACCCAATATAGTTAGGAGTGATCGATATAAACCTTTTGATTTGAGTCAAACCCCAGAAACAGATCTTAGAGAATTCTATACGAGTAGGAATTTCCAACCCATACCGCCGCCAACCTATTATGATTGGGAACCATCTTATTCAGACCACCTGTACAGTCATCCAGTCGATGATTCAAACGAAGAAACAAGCAAGCAAACCAAGTTAGTCAATTTTGAACCACTACACTCTCTCCCACTTCTCACACAGATGAATTTCTGCCAAGAAAATCATCGATACACTTTTTCACCCCACAATTTAAACGGCACTATATACCGCATATTGTTACTACTCAACTAACGGGACCAAAAAGACAAATCCACAGAACTGCAATAAATAGGGGGAATAATCCGTAGTTTTTCACTGTTGTAATACCACTAATACTTCTAATACTATTAATGCACCTGGCAATTATACAAATATTGTAGATAAAACTAATGTTGCTAAGGTAGCTGTAACAAGTCCATATAAAATAACACCAATTACTTTATCCATACAACCTACGATCCTCATCTTTTACAACAGAAACCAATAGATTCTTTACATACAACTTATTATTACAACTATACACCAAAAGCAGAATATCAACTTCCATATGATGATATGCAACAGGCGTCAACATCAAATCGACCAGATAATTTTTCGTCTTGTTCAAATGATGAGGATAATGATGATGGTGTAATTTAGTGAATATGATCAAGTTATCAGTACTGTCCAATTTCATAATTACCTTCTTCATTTTTTTATAACCATACAATACTCTTGCCTATTATTTGTGATTAACTAATTACTGTACGCAAACTTAAGTATTTATCTGTCTGAACTTGAAAGAATGTTACCAAGTCTTTTCTAAAAGGCATGCGTTTATGAATTTTAAGATACTTTGCAGTTGTTTTCATCATTCACTTTTTAACCCTCCGTATTCAACATAAACACTTTCTTGTATAAATGAATCTATAAACAAATTTGCACACTGGGATATTTTTATTTCATAGAGTTGTATTTCTCACCTATTATCCTTATTATTTTTTATCATCTCCCTTATCTTCTTTCTCAGTTATGGCTTAATAGGATGGCAACAGGAATTAGTTTAAAAATTCCACCGTTTTGGAATAAAACTGTAAATTATGCTTCGTATTTAGAACATAGAGATATCAAACTTTGTAAATGTATTTAATAAGACGATCTCAGATACTGTTCTTCAACAGGCTGATGCTTTTCTCTTTTGTTACTCTTGATTACAATTAAGGAAAAACCTAATTAGCAGTGGTCTTTAGACCTAAGTATCCTTGAATATTGCTGTATAGTGGCCTAAATATTATCAGTTCATATATTTCTAGATTAGAGTGCCAAATAGCTAACCGGATCCATTCCAAAACACACGTTAAAAAAATTGTTGCAGATTTGTGTATCCACTGGATATGAATTCTTACATAGAATTTCACCTTAAATACTACATTGTGTTCTTACTAATAGGAGAGGTATTACGGAATGAAAGAAGCATATCTTTGTCATTTGAGAAGTAAATTTAATTTTTGAGTTAATAAAGCTAAGCACGTTATACAGATTATCTAGTTTAGAGTGGTTGTACTAATGAATAAAAACGTTTCCTAACTATGTTTAATGAATAGGAAGACTAGAAGGACTGCTATTTGAGGTATCATTATCACTCTTGTGAGAGGAACCTGTACACTAACTTTAAAAAGGATTGGAAATTGTCGTTGGATTTTCAATGGAAAAAGTATCTCCAAACTTCTCTTAAGTAGTATTCGTAGGGTAAGTTAATTAATTTACGGGAGAAGTGCAACACTAGAATACATTCCTGATAAAGAATGGCATCTTACTATTTACTGTTTCCATGTTCTTATTTGACTGGTATTTATTAAAGTATTTCATATAGATGTTAGTTGGCTGGAGACAATCGACAGAAAGCCCTGATAGACATAGGTTTCATGCTTGTTATCACTCGTCAGCAAAGCGTATCTGCAACCTCGACGGAAGTGATGCCTCGCCTGAGAATCGAACTCGTGTCACCTAGTGTTTTATTCAGCGACTTACCACTGAGCTAAACGGGTCGACCCAGCACTGCGATGCTGAGCCTACTAGCTTGATGGCCACATGCAAATATGATCGATAGGATTCAATCTGCACTTAGGACTAGACAACATCAAACTGGCTTCTCTCCTGTGACTAATCAATGGAAGTACTTCATGTACATATAAACAAGAATACAAAAAAGAAGGAAGTCTACCCATCTAAAATGTGAAAACACTGAAATCTTGTGAAAATCACATAGGCATTTCGGGGAACAAAAGCTTACATAATCAGCATATGCTATTACATGTTTGAGGAAGAAAATGTCATACAGACAGAAAACTTCACATCTGGTCTTTCATGCATCCGCTCAGTTAATTTAATCTTACCAATTCATGAATTTCTTCTGGAAATTTTGACTTACATTCACTATTGGCATATCTTTATAAGTACAATAACAAGAGTCACTTCGTTCCTGAAAATATTTTTACATGGAGCACTCATTTCTCTATGTGTTATATCACAACAAATTTGCTTCTTGCACAATATTTTATATTGGTCAATAAAAATAACAATAATGTTTGCAGTAGCATTACGGATGAAAACATTAGTGATGGTAAAAAACCAGGTAACCATTTACTCCCTTTTACAAAGTTGAAAGGTAAGTTCTACTCTAACATCTATTTTCTCACATAAGGTATAAACTGAATAAGGTATATTTGAATTTCTGAAATGCCACCATAGAAGCACAAAATAGGGAAAAAGTGCTTCTATCACCAACTGAGGAGGAAACAAAAAAAGCTTGAATCATTCCAGCTATTCGATTGTACAAATTTGGATGCGTTTTAGGAACGATATCAAGGAGTGAGATTAAGCGATTATTGTAATCGTGTTTCCATCCTTTGAAGTCTATCCAATATAAAGCCAAGAGCAAACAATAAAAAAATAGGTTAAACGTAAGAATTATTAAATTACAACAACAGAAGCTGGGCAATCAGTAAGATGAAAGTTCTAGAAGGAGCAAAGAAAATATATAAAAAACCGTACACATCAAGATTGATAGAATTTGATTTGAATTTTGAGGGGGTTGTGGAGATTTGGAAATATTTCAAGTTGTTATTCATCGTAGACTGACACCAGTTGGAGGAACAAAGGAAACCTGGGAGCACTGGACAGCTGTTTCGTTCTAGTATAGGACTCCTCAGCAGTGCGCACCCACGACCTAAGCCAGGGATCGAACCTGCGACCATCAAGTTCCGCGGCCAGCGCGTTGCCATTGAGCCACTGGGTCAGAATCCAATGTTTCATATTTCCAACTTCTATCAGCTCACGATACACCGCAACCGGCACCCAATGCCATCGTTGAGTAACTGTCCTCACGACCATCAGGCTTGACTCTTGATTTGTTTTCTACTATAAAAACCATAAATACTACAAAATCCATGGGACTAAAGACGTTTGTGTAAGTCTTTTTGTGACTGAAAGCATAATTAACTGTGTGACGCTTAGAAAAAGTTGGTTTTGTTCTCACTCGTGGGATAAAAAGCTGTAAAAGCAGCTAGTATCCATTTTACAGGTAAGCAAGCTTGTCTCAGTTAATCATATCTTAGATAATCTTGAGAAGAAATAGATGTACGTCAACACCTATTTTGAGCGAAGACAGATTTAAGCCTGTTGTGAAGTATTATATAACACTGCAGAACACGTTTATGAGCAACTCAGAAAATGCCGTATACATATTCAAATTATTGTCCAGTAACATAAATAGAAAGGGAAGAGAGAACTTGAATTCAAAATCAGCAACTGTAAGATACAGAGATATGATTCCCAACTGTACCATCCTTCCATAACGTTCGTTCCTTCCAGCAGTGTGCTTAACACTTTTTACCATCAAACTTTCATTAGATATGAAACGGAATACTGTGAAAGTGTCTAGACATTTGATCGCAAGAAAATGATTACATAACTATCCCCTCCTTTTTACAGTTACTTTCCTGAAAGTGCCAAGGGTTATCATATGTTTTTTCAATAAATTCATAACTCTCATTCTGACATCAATTACAAGATATTCTAAGAAGAGGACTATTTCCAGTGAATTTATTCTCAAGTTATACATCCGTTAACATATATAAACTATTGAAAGACTACAATCCGTCGGACAGATTTAAATAAAAATGATGGTGGTTATATCATTAAAGTTGCTAGTTGATGATGTAAAGGTTGAAAGATCACGAAGAGGGGTTACGTAATACTTTTTAAATCGTTTATAATGGTGCATTTGGGTTACAAAGGAGTGAACATATGATATAGTTAACTCATTCATTTATTAACTCTGTCATTTTTTTCACCTCTTTGTAATCTATATAAACCTTACGAACGATTTAAAAAAATATTATGTAACCTGTCTTCATGATCATTCAACCTCAGCATATCAATTGGCAGTTTTAATAATATGATCACCATCACTGTTATTTCAACCTGTCATTATCTAAGTTTAATCTCTTTAATGGATTGCAACCTTGATATAATGGGTGTACAGCTTGAGAATAAATTCAATGGAAATAGTCGCCTTCGCAAAATATCTTCTTTGGTCATACACTTATTCGATTCTTATAAAGTGAAAACAGATATAGATGAAAAATGCTTTAATATAAGTGTAAAACTAGGCATTGTAGTAGAATTTAATTTCATATTAAATTGATTTATTTGATTGATAACACAGTGATACAGTACTATTTATTTCATGAAGTTTCCAGGATAAATTATTACTCATTATCATATAAGTGTAACCACATACTTTCCACATCTGATTTTTATAGTCCTATCACCTCTTATTCTTTGCTTTTATCAGTATTACAATTTTCCATATCTCTGGTTTGGGTGCAGTGTCATTTCTATTACATCTGTTGGGTTGGGTGTCAATTCGATAAACAAAGATTCAGTAATCAACCTGTATCTTTCCACCAAGTACAGTGGTTTTATCCCACCCTACTATGTGATTGTGTGTCAATGCATGCATGTTTTTGAAATACATTTGGTCCGCGGTAATAATTTTTTTAACTGTTATTTTCTGCTTCAAAGCATCAAGCAATTACAGATGAATATACATAGTTTTGAAATGCTTTCCTAATCAAACTGTTTTGAATACAGTGAAATCATTTTCCCAGATTATTGGATTAGTGTAATCTTACATATGTTCATACTTCAAGGAAGCTTTAAATCCACTCGGTTGATGGAAGAGAGAGAGAGAGTGAATAATTTTGCCAAAAATTTAAACAATAATCATTTTGCCTTTTTCCTATACTTTAGAAACTATCATTTGGTAAGGTAATTGAATCAACTCAATCATATACATCTCTGTAAATACGTTAAGTGGAGTAATGAAATTATTATCACTCGTATTTTTTTCAAGATATTTTCGTCTCATTTTTTGGTTACGTAATTATGATAGATAAGTGAGTGGGGAAATACATTTGGTCCACAGTAATAATTTTTTAACTGTTATTTTCCACCCCTTCCCCCTCACTCCATCCCTGTCTCACCTGTTGTCCAATTAAAATAGACGATAAAATATCCCATGTTACTGGTTGCACGAAATCGAAAAGTACTATAAAATGAAACAAACTGAGGACGGGTCGCTTCGTTTTCATGAT